ATTGTTTAGTCATATGATAGTGATAGTAATATATCTATGGCAATATATATATATATTACTATCACTGTGATGATAGATAGATAGATAGATAGATAGATAGATAGATAGATAGATAGATAGATAGATAGATAGATAGATAGATAGATAGATAGATAGATAGATAGATAGATAGATAGATAGATAGATGATAGATAGATAGATAGATAGATAGATAGATAGATAGATAGATAGATAGATAGATAGATAGATAGATAGATAGATAGATAGATAGATAGATAGATAGATAGATAGATAGATAGATAGATAGATAGATAGATAGGCAAATATCTGTTATCGGCCATAACAGCTATATTAATATCTGTATCAGCCCAATATTCCATATAGGTACATGCTTCTGCGACGTGTCCAAAACGTTACACTTTGCTGCCGGTGGAAAGGAACTCTGCCACTATAACGGCAACTATTGTCTGCGAAATACATTTCGAGGCCTTTTCACAATGATTTAATGTCTGGTGGAAAGAAAAGGTAAGACAACTCTAATGCTTATTTACACCTCACACACTGATATCATTTTCACATCACATGGCAGAAAAAGCATGAACTTTCTACCTCTCTACAGCTGTGCTGCTAAGACATGTTCGCAAATACCCGGGTTGGGGAGTAACAACTTACATAAAATGTTTCTAAATTTAATCATGCAAAATAAAACAAATAGACACAGCAGCACTCACACTCTAACACTTTCCAGTTATCAAACTACAGCTTTGCAAGAGGACCTACTCTCCCATAGCAGCAGGTTAAAAAGAGTATAAGAGTACAAAGTTGAACATGCTCTTACACACACACACACACACACACACACACACTTATAACCATAAGATTTTGATAATGTTTACTGGGTTATGTTAAATTAAAAACTTCTGATTCAAATGGGATCTAAGGAGCTAAGTTGTCTGAGGCTTTCTGCCTCTGGAAGGGTCACCCATGGCAAACAGGTCCTAGGTGAGGGATCAGACATTGAGCAGCCGGAAGACCTCTTATGATTAATTATATAGATGGAAACCGTGTTCCCTCGCCCGGACGTGGGTCACCGGGGACCCCTCTGGAGCCAGGCCTGGAGGTGGAGCACATTGGTGAGCACCTGGTGGCCGGGCTTTCACCCATGGAGCCCGGCCAGGCACAGCCTGAAGAGGAAACGTGGGTTCACCTTCCCATGGGCTCACCACTCGTGGGAGGGGCCAAAGGGGTCGGGTGCAGTGTGTGATGGGTGGTAGTCGAGGGCGGGGACCTTGGGAGTCTGATCCTCAGCTAAAGAAGCTGGCTCTTGGCACATGGAATGTCGCCTTTCTGGTGGGGAAGGAGCCTGAGTTGGTGTGTGAGGTTGAGATGTTCCGACTAGATATAGTCGGACTCACCTCAACGCAGGGCTCTGGCTCTGGAACCAGTTTCCTTGAGAGGGGTTGGACTTTCTACCACTCTGGAGTTGCTCCCACTGAGAGGCGCCGAGCAGGGGTGGACATACTAGTTGCCCCCCATCTTGGTGCCTGTACATTGGGGTTTACCCCAGTGAATGAGAGGGTAGCCTCCCTCCGCCTACGAGTGGGGGGACGGGTTCTGACTGTAGTCTGTGCTCATGCACCAAACTACAGTTCAGACTACCCACCCTTTTTGGAGACCTTGGAGGGGGTGCTGGAAAGCGTTCCTTCCGGTGACTCCCTCGTTTTGCTGGGGGACTTTAACACTCATGTGGGCAACGACAGTGAGACCTGGAGAGGGGTGGTTGGGAGGAACGGCCCCCCTGATCTGAATTCGAGTGGTGTTTTGTTATTGGACTTCTGTGCCAGTCATGGATTGTCCATAATGAACACCATGTTAAGACATAAAGGTGTCCATATGTGGTCTTGGCACCAGGATACCTAAGGCCGCAGCTCGATGATAGACTTTGTTGTTGTTTCATCTGACCTGCGGCTGCATGTCTTGGACACTCGGGTGAAGAGAGGGGCGGAGCTGTCAACTGACCACTACCTGTTGGTGAGTTGGCTCAGATGGTGGAGGAGGATGCCGGTCAGACCAGGCAGGCCCAAACGTATTGTGAGGGTCTGCTGGGAACGTCTGGCAAAGTCTCCTGTCAGAAAGAGCTTCAATTCCCACCTCCGACAGAACTTCCTAAATGTTCCGGGGGAGGCGGGAGACATTGAGTCTGAATGGACCCTGTTCCGTGACTCTATTGTTGAGGCGGCCGACCGGAGCTGTGGTCGCAGGATCATCGGTGCCTGTCGTGGTGGCAACCCCCGAACCCGCTGGTGGACACCGGCGGTTAGGGATGCTGTCAAGCTGAAGAAAGAGTCCTATCAGGTCTTTTTGGCCTGTGGGACTCCAGAGGCAGCTGACGGCTACCAGCAGTCCAAACAGAACGCGGCTCGGGTGGTCGCCAAGGCAACAACCCGGGCATGGGAGGAGTTCGGTGAGACCATGGAGCAAGACTTCCATACGGCTTTGAGGAAATTCTGGTCCACCATCCGGCGCCTCAGGAAGGGGGTGAAAGCAGTGCACTACCAACACTATCTATAGTGGGGACGATGTGCTGCTGACCTTTACTCAGGGCGTTGTGGATTGGTGGGCAGAATACTCTGAAGACTTCCTCAATCCCACCGACAATTCTTCCAGTGAGAAAGCAGAGTCTGGGGACTTTGGGTTGGGCTCTCAAATCTCTGATGCTGAGGTCACTGAGGTGGTTAAAAAGCTCCTCTGTGGCAAGGGGGATCCTGGAGGGTGCGTGGGAGTTTGCCAAACCAGTCTACATGTGTTTTGTGGATTTGGAGAAGGTGTTTGACCGCGTTCCTCGGGGGGCCCTGTGGGGGGTACTCCGAGAGTATGGGGTACCAGGCCCTCTGATATGGGCTGTTAGGTCCCTGTATGACCGGTGTCAGAGCTTGGTTCGCAGCTGTGTGTGAAGCAGCTGGGATGAGAACCAGCTCCTCTAAATCTGAGACCATGGTCTTGATTTGGAAAAGGGTAGAATGCCTTCTCCGGGTCAGGGATGAGGTCCTGCCCCAAGTGGAGGAGTTTAAGTATTTCGGGGTCTTGTTCATGAGTGAGGGAAAACTGGAGCGTGAGATTGATAGGTGGATTGGTGCTGCGTCTGCAGTGATGCGGGCGTTGTACTGTCGTGGTGAAGAGAGAGCTGAGTCACAAGGCGAAGCTCTCGATTTACCGGTCATCTACGTTTCTACCCTCACCTATGGTCATGAGCTTTGGGTAGTGACCGAAAGAACAAGATTACGGATAGAAGCGGCCGAAATGAGTTTTCTCCGAAGAGTGGCTGGGCTCTCCCTTAGAGATAGGGTGAGAAGCTCAGTCATTCGGGAGGGGCTCGGAATAGACCCGCTGCTCCTCCACATCAAGAGGAGCCAGTTGAGGTGGCTCGGGCATCTGGTCAGGATGGTCAGGATGCCTCCTGGACACCTCCCTGGTGAGGTTTTCCTGGCACGTCCAACCGGGAGGAGACCTAAAGGTAGACCCAGGACACGGTGGAGGGACTATGTCTCTCTCCTGGCCAGGGAACACCTTGAGATTCCCCTGGAAGAACTGTCCCAAGTGGCTGGGAAGAGGGAAGTCTGGGCCTCCCTGCTTAGGGGGGTTGCGTAACCTTTTAACGGCATATTTTAGATTAGCATTCAGGACAGCATAAATCCATTTAGGAACTGGCCTGAATCTGACTAGCCATTAGCTTATCGATCTGGTCAGAACTAATCTATGTTTATTCAAATTAAGATTGTTGAAAGATGATATAAATAAAAATCGATAGTTTGCTAAATTTACACAGAAAATGGAACAGTAGGACATTAACGTGTTTTTATAAGAGAAAGGTCCATGTTGCACCAGAAGATACATTTAAAAGACATTTTTAGCTTTACTTTTGGGCATAAGCTTGGTGAACAGCACGACTACAAACTATTACATTACGGATTCAGATTTGCGGGTAAAACACTTGAAGCTAGATCAAAGAAAAACGAATCAGGGGTGAAAATTAGAAAGTACGTCTAGGCACTTCAAAATATTTAAGCTGTCAGAAACATTTCATTGAATTTTCAGACTTTAAACTGCTTGTTTGAGTACCGATGTGGTCACATACTTTGATGCAATTTCTAAAACGCTCTAACTCTGTCCAGCAATCTCTGAGCAGCTGCATAGCAGCGTTCAAATGAAAACAACAGATACAAAAAAAAAAATCAAATAAAAAAGCTGAGAAAGACCATAAAACTGGATTCCATCAAAGTGTTTTCCAACTTTTCCAAAGCTCAACATGTAATCAAGAAATAGCAGAATGGGGTCAGATTGAGGACTTAAACAGCAAGAGCACTCTGAGTAACTGATGAAAAAGGGACGTCAGAGCTGACTTCAAAAGGCATGCAGGAAGGTTTAGCAGACCGGACGGGTGGTGCAGCTGCACCTGCACAGATCTCCCACTGATCAAAGAGCCATCAGAACAAAACCTTTACTGTTTCCTCAACACAACTCAGAGTCAGAGGTTCACAAATTCACCTCTCGATGCACTGAAATCTAAGATCATTTTTAGACCACAGAAGCAATTCACGTAAATCCCCATGGCACAGTTTTCACACTTGAAAACATAAGAATTATCAGTCAGATTCGAAGCACGAGGTCATTTCTACTGGAGCTCTTCACTAGAAAACAGTAAAAATATTCAGAAAAGTCCAGATACATTTGATGATAGAAAGAACAAATTAACAGGTCAGCCTTAAAATAATGATTAAAGAGGCAATAAACATCTAAATTAAACTGGAATAAACAAAGAGGAGAGGACAGCTTAAAGGTCAGAGTTCATAAGCCTTAAGGAAGAAGTTATAGCTGTTTTTTGGACTTTGAGGCTGCTCAGTTGTCTGCCTGAAGGAAGGAAGGTGGATAGTTCATGATCGTGTTGCTCTGGTTCTGGATCTTCTATAGTGTAAATGTGCCTTAGAAAAAGGATGCTTCTGTTGGTCTTCATTCAGTTTTATTAACGACGCATTCAGGCCCAAGTATTTCTCTGTTTTTTGCCATATTGTCACCAAAGATTAATATTTATTACATGGCTGTGGTGCATCTTCACGTATTTAATCATTTATTTACTATTCTACTTTGTGCTAAATGACAAGCAGTAAAAAGTGAAGAAAACTTTTCATATCCAAGTGTTTTATACATTTTTCTAGAAAGCATCAAGTCATTAATGGTCCACAAAGCAAACCAGGAAATGAGAGGAACCAAAGTCATGTCCTTTGATTTGTGGATGTGGTGAACACATCGGACCAGTCACCTGGCGGCTCCTTTCTCTTCTCGGTCTCCCCTCAATGCTAAAAATCCATCTGTAGAAAGGAATAGGAGACCAATAAATGTAAATTTTATGCATGTGTCACACAGATCTCATGCACATCTGATCGGCATTCTAAAAAGTATTTTTGGTTTTCAGTTGTTTTTGTTCTAAAGAAAAAACACGTTGAATGCAAACATTTCTTACATCTAATGAACATTGTTAAATTTGATCAGGTGATTTTATTTTTATTATTTTAGAAGTGTATTTGAATATTAGACATGTACTATTAAGCTGCAGAGCTTTGGAGGAACAATTCAAAACATTTTCCAAAGAAACATTCTAGCAGCACCCTGATTGTTCGTCTGTTTTTAACTGGTAAGCCAACGAGGGTGGTGGGGATAGTCTTACTGAGGTGAAATGAACAACGCAGGTGATGGCGATGACGAGAAGGCCGATGATGATGGACGCCACGGACACAAGCAAAGCATTCCTGCCCAGTCGCCTTGAACCCTCGTAGTCGCCTTGATAATAACTCTTTCTAGACTGGAAAAAAATAGAAATACAACCTAAAATTTCTTTTCAAGCTATTTTAAGATCCTACGTCTAAATTATTGCTTTAGTGTAGCAGCTTGTTTTGTGTCACATGTGTTTGATGGGGAGAGCAGGTGTGTGTAGAGAGGGGGGGTGTCTCATTTTAGTCTCCAGCACATTTGCTCCCAACATGTCAGAGCACAGCGTCTCTAATTATTTTCTTTAGCTTTAGAAGCTGTCGAGTTCCAACTCACCATGGCAGAGAAGACCAGGCCCACGATGTTGACGGGGTAGGCGGGACAGAAACACGCCAGCATGGTCAAACAAAGGAAGCTACGCAGCGGAGGTGGAGGTCCCTGCTCCTCTGTGGAACCACGGTCAAAAACTGTGCTCCCACTTAGAGAGGTCTTCTTTGGACTCGGCACAGAGTGCGCCATTGAACCAGACAGCAATCGACAACTTAGAAGAGGTGAAAGATACGCATATTTTACAAAATTAAAACATTTTAAAAATCCCAATCATGTGAAAGACATCACGTTTGGCGATCTGAACATTAGTTTGAAGTCAGCAGCGTAAGAAGTCCGGTTGGTGCTGTTTGGTTTGCTGTCTTCATTAAGAGCCTGGGAAAGACGAAGAATGGGAGAGAGAGTGGAAGATCGCTGACCTCTGTCCACAGCCTGAGTGGTGAGGGGATCAGACTCAGTTTACGGCTGCAGAACTGAGACCACATACACCAACAGCTAGGGTAACTTGTGTTCATAGGAGGTGGAAGCATTGGTCTTCAATCAGGTATAAAAGTATGCATGGTGTTGTGCATTAAACACTTTTGTTTATTCATGTCTTAAATGCATTTAAAATATTTTCAGATTAAGAAAAAATGTGCAAATCTTTCAGTAAAACATGTTCACCTGTAGTGCAGATTTTTGTGAGTGGACATTGTAGACCAAACTACCAAAAACGTCCAAATACTAGGAATTTGGTGAAATAGGAAAGAAAAAACCACCCCTTTTTGTGGCTCGGCTCTCCAGATGTGTGGTTATCATGGTGTTCCTAATGAGACACTGACAGCTGCTATAACATTTCTGTTGGTTCTCTTTGCACCTTATAAAATATATTTAAAAACAAAAGTGTTTTGCCCTTGGAGGTTTGGCCAGAAATTAGACTGTCAAGTTCATTTCAAATTTAATTCGTTTTTTTTTTTTTTTTTTTAAGTTTTGCTCTATTTTTAAAAAACATTATACATTCATTTAGTATCACTGGTCACTTTATAAAAGGTAAAAAGAGTTAGAGAGCCATTGATGGGGTTTTTTTTTGAGTTACATTAAAACAAAACCATGAAGTGCTTTAGAATAATTTATTAAGAACTTCAATTTGAAAGTCAGAAAGAAAAAAAATAAAAGAAAGAAATCTCAACAAGGGGCCGTTCAAATCATGATCAGAGCTCATCGGCCCTCATCCATACATCTCCAAAACAAGACATCAATAAAATTAATATCCAAGGAAAGGGGGGAACAAATATCTCAAAACAGAAAAATATAGTTTCTTTTTTTTCTGAAAATAACTCTTAATGCCGCAGAAGTTTTCCACTTGTTGTCTGCTATTACCAATAATAGTACTATTCTCATTTGTAAGGTAAAAAATAACATATTGCTTTATTGTAAGTTAAAAAGTTACAGTGTTGGTGTCCAGCAGTAGTTTTTTTTTTTTTTTTTTTAATCGTGTCCCAGCCTGTCTGACAGAGGAGCTGCTGGCTGGATCGGGAGGTTGTTCTGCTGTGCTGGAAGCCCGAACAAGCAGGCTCCTTGTTCCTCTGCAGACGTTCAGCTCCTTCCAGCGTTTTCCTGCCAGCCAGTCTGAGGCCCTGTATCAGAGCCGACTGGGAGCGTGACCCTGTTCCATTCCTGGTTCCCTGCCCAGCCCCTGTGTCCTCCACCACTCGGAGCACACATATAAACAAAAATATGTTGGTTCCAGAAAAGCACAAATTCATCATAAGTCAATGTGAAATGGAAGAAAGTCAGGCGAAAAAAGCAGATCAACAAAAATGGAACAGGGCAATCTTTTTTTTTTTTTGTCAGTACCAAAGGAAAAAAGGCAATCCAAATGCTCCTTTTATTGCCAGAAGTAGTTCCACCTTACTCTTTGATGTACGCGCACAAACACTGGCTCACACACGCTCAGACACATGCACCTTCAATAAGCGATCGCAGGACAGAACATGATCGTGATTTTCTACAACTGTGTTCTGAGAACGTCCTTCATTTGTTGTCGGTCTGTTTCCTCCGCGATGGACAAAAACACCGCGTAAAAGAGAAACTGAAAAAATTTAAATAAAAACAACATAAACAAAAACATTAAGCAAAAACTGCACAAAATATATGTATAATATTTTCTAAAAGAGGAGGTTTGGTCAGCTCCCCTCAAACAAAATAACACCCCAGTTACTCCTTCTTGAGTCGTTATTCTTCCATAAAGTTTGTCATCGTTCATCAAAGGTTCTGAAGGAGATGCAAGATGAAACTTGCTTTTAAAAAGGAAATTATAGGTAATAAATGAGCAAATACACCAGATAAAGTCCTGGAAATGTACTTGTTGACAAGTCAGTAGGGAGGACTGGCTGACATGCACATCTATGTGCAGTAAGGTTAAAGTAGTGAGATGAGCAGCAGATGACGTCCAGTCAAAATGCCGGTAACTAGGGCTGCTCAATTAATCGAATTTTAATCACGATTACGATCTGAGTTTTGAATGATTATAAAAACAAAACAAGCCGATTATTTGCTCCTCCCACTGGCGCTGCCCTGAGTTGCAAATGAAGCGCTCCTCCCACAGTGTTGCCAACTTAGCGACTTTGACGCGATTTCCAACAGCGTTTCAGACCCCCGTCTTGACTTTTTAAATCTTAAAAGTACCTAGCGAACACCTCAGAAACATCTCTGGTAACCCTTAGCTACTTTCTGGATAACTGTCGTTGACATTTCCTGCAGGTTAGCTTAACACTCCGCCTGCGCTCCGGACCGTTCTTCACAACATTAGGAAAGGGAATGATGTAGTGATGTGTCGGTCGCTAAAGACAGCTCTCGGAGCCGGCTCCCTGTTGGAGTAACCAGAGTGAGTGACACACGCACCGCACCTGCGGACTCCTGAGCCACTAAAACGCGTGCGGTGTGCTAAACACACATGCAGCTTGCCCCGATTACTGAGACCGGGTTGGGGGGTGGGGGGTGCAGCTGTGGTTGGGACATTTATTACATTAACTGATGGACTTGTAAATACATAGTTTATAAATAAGGTAGAAATAAGTTCCTCACTCTGATAAATAATAACTAATCTGAGGACAGGGTGCTAGTGTACTCTCCTACAGCACCTTGACACGACTCAGTGAACGTTATGCAACATTTTGTGAACATCAATTTGCATGTATTTGTTATAAATGCCACTGTATAATTCTTGCTGTCAGTATTTGCAAGATATTGGTATTTGGGTCTGTACTGGTTAGACTTAAATGAGTTAAACCAAGGTCTATAGCCCTTGGGTCATAGACTATGAGCTATAAGTATATTGGTCTTTTTATACCGGGAATCAGGAGTTATTTTAGTGATCATCTTGTTTCTTATTTCTTTTTGTCCTGAATGTGCCCTGAGCAATTTTATGACTGAATAAAAACAAATAAAATCAACATAAATTGAAAAATCGTCTTAAATAATCGAGATCTCAATTTCAGTCACCATAATCGTGATTATTTTTGCCATAATCGAGCAGCCCTACCGGTAACCCTCTTCAAACCAACCAATGGCATGCGAGCTGGTTTCGGTAACCCCTCCACCCCTTACCCCGTGTTTATGTACAATATCTTACAGGAAGACATAAAAACATTGCTTTAAAACCAATTACAGAATAAAATACCTTACAGATTATCATTATGTCAATATTAATAACAATATTACAAAGGTTTTGTTTTTAAAGACTACCAAAATATACACTTTTGTTTTTGTTTTGTTTTTTGTTTGTTTCTCCGTGTTTTGTTACACTTGAATGTAAAAAATGGACTTTGTTGGATTTGTTCTTCCTTAGTTAAAAACGGGAATTTCACACAATCCATCTCACACGGGTTCTTCTGTTCACATCAGTAACAGCTTTGCGGGATTTCATGACAAAATGACACATCACGTTGAAATAAAATAATGAAAAGTTTAAAAAAAAAAAAGGTTGTTTTTTTGTCTTACTCAACAATGACAGTTTGTCAGATGTAATTTTTTGTGTTTTGTTTTTTGTTTTTCAGCAGTTTTCTTTTGTCGGCTTCAAAAGAATGAAGAAATGGATAACTGATGGGGAGGGAGGTGGGAGCTAGTCGTTACACTACATGAAGACGAAAGAGGAGAAACGAGGATGTTGTGGTGAAGTGAGATTAGTACGGTGAAATGAGAGAACTGGTTTAAAAAAGATATTCAGTCGGTGGGTGGAGCCACGTGCAGCTGGAAGAGCCTGCTGGAGCTTGTGGCCCAGCCAATCAGATTGTGCCATCGGTGGGCAGCCAGCGTTCTGATTGGCTCAACAGCAGAGAAGAATCACTCCAATCCTCGGTGACACGAGTCTCCTCAGTGGTAGCCATTAGTGAATGCAGTAGCAATCAGAGGACCCTGAGGACACACACACACACACACTCCCAACATGAACATACACTCCACCTGCTTTCTCATTAAATATGTACATGCATGTATCCTGTGTGACTTACCCCTAAACCGTGACCAAACCCTGTAGAGGGGGCGGGGCTAACTGCACTGATGTAGCCGCTAACTCCTGAGTCCTGATTGGCTGCAGCATACAGGTCGGCCATTGGTCCGGGGCTGCTGGTGCCCAGGAAGCCAGCTGTGCGTGACGGAGTGGAGCCTGGGAGGCAGGAGAGAAGAGTCAAACTTCTCACACACACACACACACACACACACACACACACACACACACACACGCGCGCGCACACACTGCATCTAAAAATATGCTTTTATTTGTACAAGCAGGCCCTTGTGCAAACACTCTACCTAAAGCAAGCACACAAACATACAAAAGCACTAACTCATACCTCTGACTACTGCTGCTGCTGCAGCTGCCATTGGTCCGTAAGCAGTGAGGGGAATGGCTGGGGGATTACACAACAAACCAAATTATTGCACAAACAACTCATTGTGGATCGCTCTTATTTCAGATCATAAGCAATAATCTACAGCTCAGTGTGGGAGAAGCTACATCTGCTCACACATCTGTCACGTCATTTAAATCCAACTGGTGCAGGGAGAAAGCTACGTCTAGCAGCATCTGGCTCAAGGGTCACTGGATACGAAAACAAAAAAAAATCATGTGACCAAGTGAGGATGTAATTATGACTCGGCAATACTTTGTGGCGTGCTTTAATCGACCTCAAAGCCGTTTTTTATGACATCCTATCATTTCTTTGAGTGATAGTTCTAAGAACCCAGCTAAACACAGATTTTTACAAATGTATCCATATTAGATAAAATAATTATTTTACTTCCTTTGTATGAGTTTAAAAACGCTTTGTGGTATTTGTTCCTGCAATGCAATGATGTTATTATAAGATATAATGTAGCAGCTGAGCTCAAAATGTAACAAATAATCAGTTTCAAGCTTGATGCATAAAATAATAATAATCAGACTTATATGTTTCATTAACTAGTTGATGGTTAATGTCATTTTTTATGCAATGATATAACAGTATAATAGCAATTTTTTAAATGCCACCTGCAGTACTTAGATGCATCACTAGAGGGCAGAAGACAATTATAAGATTTCGTGCAGCAGGTTTTTGAGGTAAGTACCAATCCTGTCGAAGAGGTAGAACTCTAAAATTGAGAGCATCACGATGTTAGAGTTCATTAAGCAGTAGTTACCAAAGTTGGGGTCGGGGCCCCACCAAGAGTCACCATAAGCTACACACAGGGTCTCGAGAGGATTTCCAGAAACGAAAGAAAAAAATAACTACTAAACCTATAATTAGGGCTGCAGCCATCGAATATTTTTGTAATCGAGTACTCTATCGAATCTTTTATCGATTATTCGAGTACTCTAATGAATTACTATTTTGTGTTTGTAAACCAATTATATCAAATAGCATGTTACAAAATATGAAAGACCTCTTAAAATGAGCCCGCAATTACCAGTTATTCTTCAAGTTTTATTCAAAATTAGTTTGTAAAACTTCAGCACTTCAACTTTACTTCACAGTAACCAAATGCCTGTGCAACAAGTAAGTGTACAGCCTGAGCCGGTTTTCCCTCATGCGAGAATCTAAAAACTATGAGGATAACTGTTGAAGTAGCGCTGCGAGCAGCTGCTGCCCAAACAGCACCAGAACCGCTCACGGCGCATGCGCAAACACAGCTCGCCAGCTGTTTCCCTATTAACACGCATCTGTTTTAATTTCTACACTTTTTTTTCCTCACACAGTAACAAGGATAGTCAAGAAAGCATGTTTGCCGTGGTCATGTCAAATTATACTGATCACACAACATTTATTTACTTTCTTTCGTTTTCCTCCGCCATTCTCATAAATACCCGTGTCCTCCTGCAGCATTCCAGAGGGACAACAGACATCGATAACAACACAATAAAAAGCCCGACGTGTTGTGTAAAAACTAGGCCCCGACCGATACTATCGGCCGATATTAGGGTCATTAACAGTATCGGCTATCTGCCAAAAAGACAGCCGATATGGCCGATATTGCGCTACCTATCCAGCAGATGGCGCCAGCTTTATGAACTCATGTTGTGTGGCTCCACTCCTTCGAACTTTGAACACAAATTATTGTTTTGGAATTTTTTTTATTTATTCTTATTTATGTTTCTTATGTGCAATTATTTCCTGTCCAAGGTGAATAAGTTCACCAAGTTAACTTCCACAGAGTGTTACTTTGTTACAAAGCACAAGTATTACGTTTTATTTATTGCTGCATTTTTATTATTTTAATATTCTTATAGGGATCTTCTGTTCCTAAACTTGTGTGTGTTGTTAAATTCCCCAGAGTTAGCCAAGTCAGAACAACATTTTGTAACCAGTTGTTTTAGCATAAAGCAATGGAAGGGAAGGATTGCATTCACCTACATAAAAAACACTACAATGTATGTGAATTCACTGACACTGTTTTATGCTAAACTAAGAAAACCAACTGCTGCCAGATCATATTGGGCTGGTTATAAAATGCTTTTTCTGACTTGTCTAACGCTGGGGAATCTTAACAAGACACAATTTTACTGAGTGGTGGAATATTCCTTTAAGTTAAAATGTATTTGTGGAAACCAGTTTACAAGAAAAAACTTGAATGTTAGATTTATGCTGTGACTGAGTTTGTGTGTTCTGTTGTTTTGAGATCTGCTAAATAAATCTTATTTGCATTACTTGGAAACCCTAGTGAGTTATTGAGACAGTTCTTTGGTGTGTAATAGAGAAATAAGTTTGCATCAAAAAGGCAGAGAATGAAGGGTTTAAGCTTAAGATTTTTTTTCTTTTTTTTTTTGTGAGGGAGATCGGCCATTATATCGGTTATTGGCCTTTGTTAAAAGTTTTATATCGGTATCGGCCCCAAAAAAAGCATATCGGTCGGGCCCTAGTAAAAACTGCTATTTTTAGCACATTTTTAGGTCTGACATGTTGCTACCAGTCACACAGTGTGAGCTGAAACTGAGTGCTACAAACGAAAAAGTCAGTGTCCGCAGAATATATAGTAGGGGTTGTATGAACTAGTCGACTTCACGGCTCTGTAGTGACTTTTTATGCCTGTCATCGACTAGTCGCTGTCACGTGATAATGACTGACAAGATGCAGTCCTCGGAAAAGACAACAGGTGATGAGGCCCTGCGTCGGGAGGCGGAGGCGACGCGCTGTGCCAGAGCGTCGGTACTGACACCGGCGGTAAAACGGACATTTAACCAAATTGTGACCTTTTCCCTCTTGCAATTTTACCTTCCCCTCACCCCCATACTAATCTTAACCAGTTTGCGCATACAAAGCTCTGATCGTTGACGCGCTCCAGACATCTAGGTCCCACACCTTTATTTTCTGTCTTTTTCCGCACTACACCGGGGTCCACGTTGTCCGCCATGGCTTAAGAGAAAGTTAAGTTACATTCACTACTCGCGTGTGCATTCAGTGCAGTGTGTATGTGCGTCACTTATTTCAGTCCAGGTGAAACATGACCCCAGGTGATTGCAAAGCCATGAATTAATTACACATGAATTAAACAAATCCTTGAGGCAGAGAATTTGCCTCGAGGATTTTTTGTACTCGAATTATTCGAGGTACTCGAGGAATCGTTTCAGCCCTACCTATAATTGTTACAAAAACCCAATGAAATTGTCATAAATAGGGGTGTGTATTGGCAAGAATCTGGCGATACAATATATATGACAATACAGGAGCGACGATACGAGCTCATTCCCACCCATGGTAGGGATGAGCTACAATGCAGCCGCAGCTGCCCTGGGAGGCACTAACAGAGGCGAGGCTGCCGAGCACAGGCGCCACCGGTTCCTCCGACCACCACCAGCAGGCATGGGGGGTTAAGTGTCTTGCCCAACGACACAACGACAGCGACAGACTGAGCAGGGCTCGAACCTGCAACCTTCTAATTGTGGGGCGAGCATTTAACTCCTGTGTCACCGTCGCCCTTTAAGACTGAATTTAATTGGAAAACTCAGGCCAGACACTTCCAAAACAGATCCCGTGTTATCGCGAGATCTCGTTGTTCAACCAGAATGAAGGCAGAAAAAACTGCTGCCACCTAGCTGTCGGAGTTTGAATTGCACCACACAAACGAAGTACAGTAAATGTTTGCAGGTGAATCCTTAATAAAAAACATTGATAAAGTATCATAGCACAAAATATTGCAATATTTCAGTGTCTCCATATTTCCATATATCCTTGGTCCTAAATGGATAAAAGTGGTTATTGTCAAAGTTTTTTTTTTATTCCCTGAATAATTTAGCTCCTTTAGCATGTTTGTATTGTCAAATCAGAGATAACAGGAGTTGCTATTTTCAGGGTCTGAAGCTGAAATGTTTGTGAACCTATCTGCATCACAGGGTTAAAAACCTACTAAAATCCAGTTGGATCCTCTTTAGGTAGGTTTGGGCCAGCTCATTCTGTACACCACAAAACAGGAAAGAACAGGCCGTTTGGCCCAACAGGCGCTTATAAAACCGGACCTGTGTGGGTTTAATGAGCCTGTTTGGCCCAAACTGACTTCATTCAAACTAAAAATAGAGCAGAACTAAACTGTGGAATCAATACATTCGTCAGCACGGCCCTTCATCCTAATGTTAGCTCTCCTAATCAGACGTCTGTGAGAGAAACGGAATAAATGGAGGCACTTTTAGGGGCTAATGGATTCCTGCCGAATGTGAGTCAGACAACATCAGATTATTCAGGATTAGAGAGAAAACATTCACATTGAAACCACAGAGCTGTTGTGTCATCATCATCATCATCGAGGTACACAAAAATGCTGCTAAATAATTCAGTTTATCAGTGAAGAGCCACTGACCTGCCAGTTCGGGGGGGTGGGATGTTGTCAGAAGTGGGGTCCGCTCTAAGTGGAACTCTAAGAGAGAAGAGAGAATTGCATAAATACAATTCCTATCCACAGGCAGAAGTACAAAGGCCCACACACACACACACACACACACACACGCACGTGCAGACACAACTGTCTGGCGAGCGACAGGAAGGTAGGAGCAGAGGAAAAGGAGGGGCGATGCAGCCAAAATGAAAGGGAGTTACATAAGTAGATCAAATAAACAGAAACGAATCAAAGACGGGGGGAAAAGTTAAATATTAACATCTGGTGTTTAGGACGGAAAAACACGGGGAAGGTATGAGAGGAAATAAGGAGATCACAATATAAGACTCACCTGGGAACTGGTAGGTGTATCCAGGTGCTAGTCCCGAGTAGCTGCGGCTGGTGTAGGTAGTAGTCTGGAATCCTGGGTATCCTGTAGAAAAACACTCCGAATATTAGAGATGATCCGCCTCCTGCAGGGCTCTCATAAAAGATTTCTCCTAAATAAAGCAAACCTCCAGGAAATGCGAGCAGGTCGAGACCCAACAGAATAGGTAGCGCGACTCATGTTGCGAATGACCGCAGTCACCAATTCTTGTCATGTGTCTTACCCACGTATGTCTGATCTTTGAATTGTGTGTACTGAAACTCAATTTCGTTTCTCTGTATGTCCTGCACATGTGGTAGAAATGACAATAAATGACTTTGACTTTGACTTGACTTGAATAAACATCGCTTTAATGATTTTCTTAGCTTTTCTTCATGACTAATCTGACCTCCAGCCTTTCCTGATCCGGAGCTTATCACAGTACAATCTCAAACGGCCAGCAGAGGGAGCAAAACAACAGCAGATGAAGAAACTCTTTTCTCAATGATAATCTCTTCAAATGAATCTTTTTCCTCCAATCAGAGCTTCTCATTCAAATGTTGAAGACGTATCACAACTAGAGGAAGGAATCTGACTAAAAAAGCAGATTCAGACACTAATGGCGTACATAACCCTTTAGTTCCTTCCTGTTTCCAAAAGCAGGTTATCAGATATTTTCAGTGGATTTGAGGATTTTTAACGGTTTCTTTCATGAAAAATGGAGCAGAAACACTTAATGGTCTTAATCATCTTACCTAACATGCCGATGCCCAGCATGAACGTGTCCATCCCGTAGGGCATGACTCTCGAGCGCCCTCTGGCCGAGCCCGTGGGCGTCATCACCTCTTTGGGCTGGGCCTTCTTACACTCCACCTGAAGCAAATCGCACAAAGTGTTGACGGGATTCTTCACACACCAACCGGAGGAGCTACTTCTCAGAGCCGTACCATTTTGCTGTTGATCTCGTGGAAGTGGATCTCACACACTTTCTCCACCACGTCCTCATTCTCGAAGGTGACAAAACCAAAACCTGTGAGAAGGGGAACGAGGAAAACGAATGATCACTATGACACAAAAGAGCTGGGGGGGTGGGGGGGGTCTGGTGTGTCACGCTTGTCAATCAGAAGTCTGGTTTGGAACTAAAACTGAGCCTGGATTATTATTACTATCATCATCACTTTCTCCACCCCCATTTCCTCGCTTGTCTCGTTCTGTTACATCATCGCCTGTGGCCATCTTGACTCTGAGCGGCGACCCTGCCCTAGCCCACTGAGAGGATGGCGATAAACGGAACAGAGGGAGAAGACTACATGATGTGACTGAATCTAAAGAAAAAAAAAACCTTCTTCCTAATTGTTCCCCCTGCAGAGCTTCACCTAATGACTCCATCACACTGTTTCTCCCTTCTTTTGCAAAGCCGCGTCTCTACATGTCAACACACATTTACATAATGTGGACCCGGCGCACCCACCTCTGTGTCTGTTGGTTGTTTTGTCGAACATGAGCATGGCATCGTCGACCTGCGGGGAAACAAAAGCAGAAAACACATGAGCTGGGCCATATTAACACGCACACATCATTACCCAGCATGGGGGGGTGAGAGGGGGGTATTGTCCCTCTTTAGCATGAGAGTGGAGAAAACAGATGGAGAGGGTGGAGGGGTGACAGGTGACAAAGGACGAGAACGACGGGGAAATCCTATATATCTATGTGGAAATCAGAGAAGAAGTGTGTATTTATGTGCAGAAGAACTCTCTCTAACATCTCCCTAACTGTCCAGCTTCATCTTGCCCTTTCTTTCTCTCGTTGATCCACCCGTGGCGCCTGTTTCTCCTCCCTTCTGCAACGTTTACTATTCCCATGGAGACTCTGTAAAGAATTTCAATTAGAACTGGCACCCCATCTCCTCTCCATAACTCTTTTCAATGAAAAGGATGACGACTTGGTTTGGGGGCTGACTGAAACTGGACACAGAAGAGGATGATCTCAGAAAGAAGTTTGAAGATTTCTGTTTTTGGAAGATTCTGGTTAACGGAGCAGAAAACAAAAAGTGAGCTGGGGTCTTTTGTCATCACACTCCTCTTTTATTCCTCCACCCTCCCTCCCCTCTGCACTCACTCTGCTGCCCTATTCATATTCCACCTCCCACCCTCCCTTTGCTTGTCCTTCACTGGCAGGAAAGTTTGCAGCCTCCGCTCGAGCTCCAGTGACACGAGGAGGCTGAAAGGGGAACTTTTCCATCTTCAGATCTGCAGCATGCAACGAGGACGACTACTTTCATGAACAGAAACCGGCGTGAGCTGGGGCTGATGGATGCTCCAGCCGTCTGATTTCAGAGCCGCGGAGATCAAGGCTGCGTCCAAAAGTACCCTCTCTCTCTGTGTCCTTCGTTCGGATTTCCCCTCCTCCCCCCTTTCTCTCCTCTCTCATGTTCTGCCCTTCCGGTTGTCCAAACTCAATGACACAGCAGAGAGAGGTAGTGGGAAGAGGTAGACAGCTGCAAGCTAACATGTTATCATTAGAGTACGGTTACACACACACACACACACACACACACACAAGAAGGTGGGATAACCTACAATAGGTGAGGGGGTTAAACTGTATTTGAAGGGATAAAGTGGTTGAGCTAATGAAAACAGAGGTTTGCGTGCGTGCAAACAATCCCATCACGTGTGCAAGCTGGTGCTGGGATCCCTCTTTTCCTAAAACTAATAAAAAAGACATTCTCACGATGTCCACGGCTCAGGGTGCAGTAAAACAATCTGATTGGAGAGCTGTGGGAGTCTGAGATTAGCATAGCAGTGGCTAACTGCTGCACCCTGGACGCATGCAGGGAGAGGAGAAGGTCATTCTCAGATGTACTAAAAACACGGTGCCTCTGAGGCCCGAGCAGCTCTCCCCGTGCTCAAACTGGAATCTTTTCCAGTTGTAGAGATGTGTGCAGCTATTGTCCGAAGAACAAGTGTTTGCTGACAAGTCCATTACGTTTTGTTTTTTTATTTGAAGGATTATGAAAGGTGGCATTCACATTTTTTCCCCCTGCTGCCTACTCACATCTACCCCTCTTTCATTTTCGCTCTGGCTCTCCGGCCATCCCTCTCTCTTAACAGGCCAGCAGACAAAGTGTTCAGTCAAGCCTTCTAATCGCCAGCTCACATGGGTGAGTGGAGTCCCAACTTTTCCCGTCTGCTCCGTCCATGCTGCATTTTCCAGCTTTCATCCGCTCCTCTTTCATTCGACCCGCCACCCTAACGTACACTCCTCCTGTGCTGTTGCATAAGTAAAAAGGGACAAGGATTCCCTTAAGTTTCTACAGAAGTGCACGTATGAGCAACAAACCTGAAATGATCAAATGAGCTGTAGCTGCATGTCTGACCACCGGAGTAAAAAACATTTATATGATGCAGACGGGTTCTATTTTCAGCCTGAGCTGTCAACCCCCCAGCAGGCTGAGGGGGATTACAAGACCTCCACCTCAGGATTCAGTCGTAGGTCTCAAACAAACACGATGGCTGCAGTCTTAGTGGCCCGGGGACATTTAGCAAGAAGAGCTGAGATTTGTTCAGTCGGAAAAAACCACACATAAACACACACGTGTGACTCCAAAGCACCTGATAAGTCAACTGTGCATCCAGTCTAATGGAGCTGCATTAAATGCACACTGTGTTTTCCTTATGAGGTGGAGCTACAGCATGAAAACAAACAGGACACGGAGTCCAGTTTCCATCCAGACCTGCACCTTGTAGCCACGCTTCGGAAAATAAACAAGGAATACCTCCCGCTCAGCAGGAATGCTCTGTGGGATCGCCGCTATCCGTGATACAGCCTTGGTCTCACCTGTCCAAACAGTCCAAATAATCCCTTGTCCAGAGGAAGGGAGTGTTGTCTCTTTATCTAATCACCGGGGGAAGAACTGATTTCAACATTTTGGAGGTAAAAAAAAGGTGCACATCACACCACATCTACGTTCACCAGCATCCACAGCCGATAATTACGACATCTAAATCCAAACGGGCACCTGAAATATGGTAATATGGCAAGAATGAATCAGAGGCCAACAGGGAGACAGCTCAGCCAGACACAAGACAGAGGGAGCTTCATGCTGTTAATTTCTTCCAACCCATTAGGCCTCCATCCTGGAGCGGTGCTCGTTTTCAGACCGGCCTGCTCACCGACAGCAGTACAGCTGCACACTTTAATGTTTGTGACAACTGAATGTGTGTGTGTGTGTGTTTGTTTCCACCAATGTATGCAAGCTCGCCTCCCTCTGCAGCCATGACGATGACACTGTCACACTTTCATGTGCACATGCACACGCACACACATACACACAGATGTATGTCTTTCCATTCATGCAAATGTACACTTTTGGCACAGTTATTTTTTTTTAAAGAAACAAAAATACACTGGATTACAGCGGGACAATGGGCAAAGGCAGGTCACCACGGCAACAAGCGGAGAGGGGCTGGGGCAGGGAGTGTGTGTGGATTGGGATGGTGTCTGAAGGACTGATTTGGGGTAGGGGGGGGCTCCTGCCCCTACAGGAGCAGCTGTTGCATCGAATTAGTTTAAAAGCCTGAATGTTACCTAAAAACTCATCCTAAGGTACCAGTAACTCAACACATCAGATTTCTGGACATCTCTGCTACTCATCGGTGGCGTTTTGCTATTTTAATAGTCACTTTTGCTCCTCTGCACCCCCCCTTTTCCATACCCCTAACCTTTTCTGAGATCCCCTCCCTTTCTCTCCATGGGGGGTAACTCTTTCCCTTTCAGGCCCCTTCCATCTCCCTCTCTTCCTCCCCTCCTTCACTTTTATCTGGTTTTGTTTTGTTCTCCCTGCCTCTCCCCCGGGCACTCATCTGGCTCCACAGCATGTGCTTGTGCCTTTCACCATCTCTTTTAATATACATCTACAGAAAAAATGCAGAAAATTGCTAAAATATTGTTTACTTCGTTATAAAAATGGAGTAGCAGTTACTAAATACCACTACAGCGTGTGTGTGTGTGCGTGTGCGTGCGTGCGTGTGTGCGTGCGTGCGTGTGTGTGTGCGTGCGTGCGTGTGTGTGTGTGTGTGTGTGCTAGTGTAACTATCCTACTCAGAACCAAAACTGGCATATTCACTAATCTTCTGAAGACCAATGGGCCGTATTATGACCACAACCCGGTCCTAATACCGTGGACCCCCTGTTTTAGGCTTAGGGGTGAGATCTAGAGGTAAGATGTGATTTGAGTGTTTGTTACAGTTAAATTTAGGAGTGCGCTGGTTAGAGTTAGGCAGAAATGTTGTTACTAAAATAAATGTAAGTCAATACAAAATCCTCATATGGATAGAAAAACGAACTTGTCTCCATTATTAAACAAAAGCAGCCTCTGCAGTCTTGCTTTTGGAGATATCTGATTTTGCATCCTGCTTTGCTGTGTCTGGCAGCACTGTGTGTGTGTGTGCGTGCGTGCGTGCGTGCGTGCGTGCGTGCGTGCGTGCGTGTGTGTGTGTGTGTGTGTGTGTGTGTGTGTGTGTGTGTGTGTGTGTGTGTGTGTGTGTGTCACTGGAAAGAAAAACTAAACAAAACACAAGTACTTTTTCACAAAAGGTCACAAGTAGATTACTTTAAGAATCGCCAGAGGAAGCTCTACTGATTGGCTAAACCCAACTTTGAAAATAGGCACCTAACTGAATACAAGGTGTTTTGCTTTCTTTCATAGCAACATTCAGAGTGGAAGTTGGAACTGCCTTCCATCCTTCACAATAAAAGTCCAGTAAAACTCAAAGGAGAATATCAGTAAACTATTTTATAAACTTGGTTTAAAGGTGCAATTTGTAAGAATGACATCCCGTGGGCAAATGTGATTACTACAGTCTATTTCCGTGACTTTCATGGCAATTGCCAGTTATGGATCAGCACCAGAAGAGTCTAAATGACAAGCAAAGATGAGTCATACACAGTAAGCTGATAAGTAGATAAACACGTTGTCATATCTGGTGTTAGGACTCTTGTTTGTTTTACAGAAGGGAGCACTTACTACACTTATTACGGTAGTTTGTCTCCGGCATTACAGGAAGTGTTGCTTGCCGTCTTGCTGTGAAGCCTAGTTTACGCCTCTGCATCCACTCTGCGAGGCAGAGACACACATGCACTGACAGAGACGTTTTGCCTTTGGACATCTACGTCTCCTGGGGAGTGTTGCAAAGCAATTCCCCGCCAGGACAACAGAGGGCGTAGCGCTGTTCTGTGGTATCCTGTCATGTAGCCAGTCCAAGATAGTGCATTTACTATTGTGTTTTTTGTATTTAAGACTTTTTAACACGGAAAATTTGTCCCTCATTCTCCTCCACCTATTCATGCCCTTGCCACCTCTAAACCCATGTTTCCCATCATTTCCGTCCACTGCATATCGATTGCTGCATATCTTTTAACTCCTCCTGTCACAAGTGAAGCTGCTCAGTGTCTGCCACTAGATATCTTCAACTATCTTTATTTTTTGAAGATCGCAATGACAGAGCTGTTGACAAAGCGGCGACCAGACCAATCACAAGCTTGCATTCTCCGTCTCGTCGGATGGATGTTTAGAAAAGTTGGCTCGACTCCATGCGTCCTTGCGACCCTGCTGCAGAGCCCTCGCAAGGTTAGGGTTGGGCATCGAGCATCAATTGGAATTGGTTCCAACTGTTCATTTTTCCCGGAATCGTTCAAAGTTTTTTATTTCGATTCCTAGTTTCGATTCCTAGAATGCCGACGGAAGAGGAATCCACGGACGATCTCCATGAAAAATAAACGTGATCTGCAAATTGTGATCAACGCTTTTCAGAGCTGATCCCACCAGCTGTCAGTGTGCAGCACCGAGTCCCCCCTCCTCCCACCCCGCGCGCAGCGGCCAAATATAAACAAACGCGTCTGCCGGACTTTTACTCCGTAAGGTAAACTTTTACTTCTGCAGCAAAAAATGTGCCGTAGAGGAAACTTGTTAAATACGTCAACACGGTGGATTTAATAGAAGCTTTAAAGAACAAACTCTGGACAGTGTGAGGTGAGTTTGTCCCACTGCAGAAAGAAAAACACACACAGAGCGTCAGCAGTCAGACGCAGCCGCTTGAGCGTCAGAAGGCTGAACAATAACCTGTAGAATAATTAAAGTCATCATGCTAGAGAAGCTTCTCTGTGGTGGACCACACCAGCTTCTGCCACAATAAATAATTATAATAATAATAAATAACATTTTTTACTTCCTTTCTGAACTATATCTGTTGCGTTTTAATGTTTAAAATCTGTCAGATTGTTACTGACAGCAGCTACATTTAAGTTTCACTTTCTGTTCTGACTGAACGCTGCTGCAGCATGGAGGTGTAGTTCTCAGCCATCCTGGACATGATCATCCTGAGAGTTTTAGCTGAAAACAGCTGGACGTTTCTGGATATGTTGGAGACATTTAGCCTCTCATCCCAGAGGCTGCTTCCAGACTTTGGTTGTGGTCAGAAACAAACACACTGGTTGTGCTGCAAATCTTTTTCTTTTTTTCTCCAAAACATGCTACTGTCTAAATGAAGGTGATGCTGTTGTTCATATAATTAAAATTCATGTTGAAGTTAAGATTATTTCATCAAGTAGGACCTGTGGTTAGCTGGCTCATGTAAAACATGTCCTGTCTTCAAAGAATCGGAATCGGGAATCGATAGGAACCAGAATCGAAACAAGGAATTGGAATTGGAATCGGAATCGTTCAAAATCAAACAATGCCCAACCCTAATGGTGTTGCGTGTCTCCGTCTGGGCACATAAGGAGAAGCATAAATGAAGCTTTATAGTTCTGAACGAACACCACATTTGACTCATGATTCACTTCACACATACATTACACTGTAATATCGAGTTGTTGGTAATTGAAAAAGTAACTAGAGCTATTTTTAAAGCAGACTATTTGCTTCTAATTTGTTAGCATTGTTAGCTCAACATGCTTCACCCGATATTAGAGTAAAATAAAGAGATGCTTTGGTTTCTTAGGGGTAAGAGAAATAACCTCTAGTCATTCCTGTTCACTGACTTTGGTTCTTTAAACAACTCTGGAGCATTTTCCCTGCCAGTGTAGAATTACAAGCCTGTGCTACTGCATTAGCTTGCTGCAGATTCGGCAACCTCACAAACTCTGGTTGAAACAGTAACTATGTCCCTCTTTTGTTTTTTGTTTTTTTGTTGTTGTTTTTTTTCGAAAAGATAAAAACTAACAACCCCCCAGCCGCCTGAGTATGAAATCCTTTTCTATGTAACCTTCCTTCCAACATGACTGAGACATTAGACCCTTAGTTTTGTGGCTGCTGAATTCTTACATATTGCACCTTTAAAGTTTGTCAGGGTGGGTGGTAGAAAACTGCAGAATTTTGAGTCTTTCTCATTAATATTCATCATATGTACACATCTCACCTCTGATTGGCTAACAGCTACACGATACTTCTGCTTGTAAATTTAGCTCTTCTTTGTTGGGTAATACGTAAATGTAGCATTGATGTTTTATTTTCCACAAACAACACAAGCATGAAGGAGTTCTGCCATGTCGTGGAGTTTCTAATGCTAACACTTAGCTTCTACTAGCCAAGAGACACACTCCGCTCTATTCTGGATACAACATCAACACAGCTGTGGTTGTGAACCAATTTTGCTGGGCCCATAAATGCTAATGTTCTGTGATGTAGGAGACATCTTTTTCTAACCCAATAGCTAATGTGTGGCTGATGCAGACAAAGGTTTTCATTCACCACGAATGTGCAACTTAGCGCGACCAATCGTATTTCCAGTATAACAAATAACACGTTTCTCTGTTAAGTTTGTAAGCTTTAAGGTACATTCCAGATGTTTAGGCATAATTTTGTATAGCTTACTACGCAAAAACAAGGATACCATGGCCCTTAAAACAAGTACTGGTAGCTTTGGCACTGTGTGCAGGTGCCAAGTCCTGTTGGGAAATGTAATCTGCTTCTCCATAAAGTTGGTCATCAGCAAGAAGCATAAAACTCAGACCTCAGAAAACATAATGGACCAACACCAGCAGATGACAAGGCACTATCACTGACTGTGGAAACCTTACACTAGACCCGTGCCTCTCCTCTCTTCCTCCAGACTCTGGGACCTTGATTTCCAAAGGACATGCAAAATTTACTTTCATCAGTCCTTTTTGACTTTAGCCCAGGCGAGACACTTCTGACACGGTCTCTTGTTCAAGAATGGCTTGACACAAGAAATGCGACAGCTTAAACTATGTCTTGCATACATCTGTGTGTGGTGGCTCTTGAAGCACTTACTCCAGCTGCAGTCCACTTTTTGTGAATCTTATCCACATTTTTTATCAATTTGGTTTCACAGTCCTCTCCAGGGTGCAGCTATTCCTGTTGCTTGTACACTTTTTCTACCACATCTTGTCCTTCCCTTCGCCTCTTTATTAATGAGCTTGGACACAGAGCTCTGTGAACACCCAGCCTCTTTAGCAATGATCTTTTGTGTCTTGCTCTCCTTGTGAAAGGTGTCAATAGTCGTCTTCTGCACAAATGTCAAATCAGCGGTCTTCCCCATGATTGTGTACCCTACAGAACTAGACTGAGAGACCATTTAAAGGCTTTTCCAGGTGTTTTGAGTTAATTAGCTGATTAGAGTGTGGCACCAAGGGACATCAATATTGAACATTTTCACAATATTCTAATATTCTGAGATACTGAATTTGGGGCTTTCATTAGTTGTCAATTATAATCATCAAAATTTAAAAAATAAACATTTAAAATATATCAGTCAGTGTGTAATTAATTAATGAATCTAAAATACAAGTTTCACTTTTTGAAAGGAATTACTGAAATTAATTAACTTTGTCATGACACTCTAATTTTCTGACCGGGTTCGTGTCCTTGAACTGATTTTGAAATCTACAACTTTTAACGTTTTTCGAGAAATTACAAAGTTTTTCTCTACATTTCACCTTTAGTCTCAACCCCTCCTCCCCTGTTTTTGCTTTTGTGCAGCTTAAATGTGTGTCATCGTAAAACACAGTGTTAGCACAGGAGGTAAAAAAAAACGAGCCACATAAACAAGAGGTTCATACAAAAGACAGACAACCGGTTTGAGATGACCTTACCTTTCCAAACTGATCAAAGTATTGCTTCACATCCTCGATGGTGGTATTGACTGACAGCCCTCCGACAAAGATCTTCTTTGTCCTGGTCACCAGCTAGCAACACAAGAAGAGGAGGGAGATCTTTCATCAGTAGCAGTGTTAAATATGTGCTTAATGCATGTGAAGGAGACACTGATGCAGATTTGAACATTAAGGCTAATTCTGCTAGATTAAAGCTGTGTGAGCATGTGAGTACAAACTGGGGTCTAGATAGCCAGAGCTGAAAGTGTACAGATGATATGTGACATCATCACCCGGTCGCTAACCTCTACTAGGTCAGGTGCACTCACCTTAGGCTGAGCTCGACGCGGAAACGCCACCTTTGGATCAATCTGCAAAGAAGAGATTTAAAAAGGCTTCAAAAAAGTGACAAAGTGGATTTATTTTTAATTGGCATGAACCACTTCCTGTCTGGCTGAGCTATCTTAACAGATCATTTTCCCTTTGGCCTAATTACCTCCAATTGTGTTACAACTCACCAACAGTTCAGCTGCATTAAACATACAATCAACGTCAATCGCGGGTGAAAATCACCAAAGTTAACGTTGCACGCTCTGACACCACAAATCAAAGAGATTAACAAACCCATTTTAAAGCCCCCAAACAGTCTGCTGAGTAGAAACAACATCAACACCACGTCTCTAAGTCTGACCTCATGTGAAGGACTGCTAAAGTCCAGAAATAGAGCAAATGCTAATCTGCAAATACAGGACACTTATTTCTGCGAGCCCTCGCAGATCCAAACAGACGGGCAAACTGACCAGATTTCACAGCGAGGCAGCAACACTTTCTCCGACTCGTGTGTTCAGACACAACTGGACGCATCAGCTGGACAGAATATGGCAGCCTGGAATCTAAAATAAGCATTTAATATTCTGAATAAATTTAAGATCTGTTTTATTTTTTTTCCTTCTCTTTTCCTAAATCTCCCAAATCCTGACAACCTCCATTTTGGATTAGTCAGATTTGACAGTATCCATATTTTCTCTTTCCGCTGGAATGTCTCAGCAGTGGTCAAGGTTACAGATAAAATTAGAAAGAAATGAGTTTTGAATGAGCTGGCCTTTAATAATGCTAAATATGCAAAGCCTGGCCTGGCATTTGAAATTTGTGTGGAATCTGGTGTTATTCACACTCAAGCCAACAAGAGAGACAATTTTAGGTCGCAGGACCTTGTGGTGTATTATAGTCTTAGAGTTTCCATCTATGCTCTATTAACTGGATGTGTGAAGCAAAGCCCCTTGCGCCTCACACGGACGTATTAAATTGCTACCAGCAGCTAAAGAGGGCCTTTCAAAAAGCCTAAAATAATTACATATAGTGTGGACAATACACACATTACTAATAAGGACAAGCGTTCAGTATTAAAAAGGAAATCCTTTCATCTCTTATCTGTGATAATTGCCTGCTTCTGATAACAAACGGGTTGGAAAATATATCCAATGAGGGCCTTTAAGTGGCTGGGATTTAACACAGCGCCGGGTCTGATGCAGCTGCAGCGCCCTTGGACGGAAGGACTTTACACCTTGAAGTGGGACGCAAAGACGAGAAGTGTCCCGTCACCTCCAGCTGGTCTAAACACAAAGAGCGCGAGGTGACAAGGACACGAGAAGCCACCGGCAACTAGCAGAAAGGAAAACAAATTACACAAAATGAGGTGACGCAGCATTCCTTGCAGAATCCCCCGCTAAATGGGACAAATAGAAGGTTATACCTCGAAATGACTAGTTTAACTGGATGCAAAGTAAAAAAGTCCAGCACAAGGCACTTTGGATCTGAAAAAATAAATCTCATAACAGGGCCGAGTAAATCCAAAAGGACGGCGATGATTATGTCTTTATTCTGGTGCAACGTTGGCAGCTGCTTGACCTCTGGTGCTCAGGTCATCCCACCTGCCTTTAACTTGTTCGACATGACTGGAGGATCAGAGCCACCCGAGGCCACTGTGGGACCGACAGGGACCGCAAACCACATCACATTTCATATAAACGGCAGTCACATAAGACAGAAACGGGTAAATACCACTACACAGCTTCTTTATATCACCCAACTGATCAAATCCCTAATAATCCAAATGGTTACCATTTGATAATCGATCAAACTAGGGCTGGGCATTAAATCAAAAATTTTGCGTTATCAAAAATTCTGACTTTAAATATTTTTCCCATGTCAATAAATTTGAAAATGTGTGTGTAGGTCGGTGACCTTCATGTCCCTTTAAGAAGCTGTACCACATCAAGTCACATGACAACGTGACTCAACGTGATACACGTTTCAGCCCCATCTAGTGGACAACATCTATCGTTATAGAGGTGAAATCCTCAATTTACCGTGATATTGATTTTAAGCCATAATGCCTAGCCCTAGATCAAGCATATTATTAAACATGCCTTGTGACCAACACAGTTTAAAAATTACCTTAAATCCTCTAAAACAACACCTTTAAAACGAGACTGTTAACTAAACTAGGTTAGACCAATGCAACGTCTGTAGTAGTGCTACTACCGCTACAATCATGCCATGCTGTTAAAAACTACTCATTCTGAAGTATAAAGTCTACATCTAGCTGTTCTCATGAGGGGGCGATAATAAATGAAAGGTAAAGCAGCTATCAGAGAGGTAGGTTAGCCTCAGGGAAGACAGACAGGCCACAAAGCAAAAAAAAAAGGTGAAATGACTGAGCCAGGTCACTGTTTAACACTCAGGAATAGCTCTTCATAGGCTGGATGTTCCACATCGGCCATGTCAGAGTTGGTGAAAATGTCACTTTAATAACAGGAACGGAAATTAAAAAAAATAAAAAGAGTTGTGAGCCTGAGAGAGAAGAGTTACAACCGAGTGTTTGGTGAAATGGTCCGACTAACATCCTGCTTTATGGCGTGCAACCTCAACTCAATCTAAAGGAGCAAAAAGTGACAGCGGAGCCTAAATCATGACTTGAGCGCTTTAACTGCTACAGAGATCTACAGCTAATAGTCACCTTGCTTGGCGCAGAGCATCCAGCAGTGTTACAAACTGGAAAACACAAATAATAATAATAATAGTAAAAGGATCAAACCAGCTGATGAACATTTACACATCAAGGTAAAAATGGAAGTAAAAGAAGAGTCGAAGCACGTGGAAGAAGAAGAGTGGGCCTGTCCGGCGTGGCGGGCAGTCCCAGCAGGCGTCCCCTCTGATTCCATTAATTAACAGGACAAAGAGTACAAAACAGATGGGTCCGCAGAGGAGCTGGGGCCTCCCCTCGCAGGCACACATAACATCAACAGCAACACATTTACACACGATGACATAAACACGTGATTAAACCAGCGAGACTCATCCGACTACATGGAGAGACGTGCAGCTTTCCAAATACCCCGAAACAGAGATGTTTTTACGCTCCGCCACATGGTCAGCCTGCCAAGACATTTGTGCAACTAAATGGCAAACACCCACACCGATAAAAACGGCACCACAGCATAGTAGAGGCGGTATAATCAATAACAGCTAAACAAAACGCCATAAACACAAGCAGAGACTAAAGGACTTGGTGTGTCAATACAACCCACACCCACACACCCACACCCACACACACACACACAGAGGAGACTTGGGTTGGGTTCAGGCCAGCAGGGTCAACCTGCACAAATGAACAACAATACGGTAATTAGTTAACGAAGCAAACTAATGAGGTCCTTCAACCCAACCCTGTTCCTAACCCAGAAACCTGGCTGGAGCGCCTAACCCAGGGGGGGCGTGTCAAGAGGTTGGCCTTGCATCCAGGTCTGAGCATTATCCACAGATCTGAGGCCTGCATGGACCTCGGAAGCACAATCCAGTTTGCTCCTTCAATCCGATTAGTTGCTTTCAAGATCCATACTAATTACAGCACAGGAGCCGGACCTCCCCCTCCTTCCTGCTCTCCACCCCCCACCTTCAGTTCTGTCCATGTCAGCATTAACAGCTAATCTTCCAGTAAGGAACCGAATGCCACAGTCAGGTGTTGGACCAGAATCCAGAGGAAAAGACAGCAGCTATATTAGCACCTCCTGGCCTTCGATGAGCCAGTGCCAAAAGCAACAATTACCCCCGCTAGAACACGCCACATTTCTTTTTGGGGCTTTCTTTTCTTAATAGACCCAAAATAAAAGCTAAACGATCCTAAAGTTCTCGGATTTTCACCAGATAAACTGACCTTTTTATTTATAGGTCAGCAATGTGCTTTATTGGGGTTATTTTAAGACAACGCCCTCCTGAAATGAATAATTACGAAATTAATGCACGCCACCTCTCCTACAAGTTTGCAAAAATTAACAATAATTTATCACTTATAAACAAGCCACAAACTTTGCTCTCCCCCCCCCCCCCCCCCCCCCCCGGACCATCGAGGTGGTCATTTTTCTAAGAAGCGATCCGGCCTCGTCTTTCCCTTTTCCTCGTAACTGGTTCCAGTAAAGCAGAGAAAACAAAGAAGGAACCAGTTGTGCCCTTCTTCTCTGTCCGCAGAAGCACAACAGCAACACTACGGCCCTGAGGCAATTCTTTGCCCCGGCAGGAAATCTAACCTCCAAACAAAACAGAAACCACCACAGACTCCTCTCTGAAAACAATAGGCCGCCTCACATTTGTTGTATTTGCATTTCTTTATATTTTTCCCTCCAAGCAACGCAGGTATCGACAGAAATCATAACGATCTGCTGATAATTCACCTGCTCTGTGGGCTTAAACAAAAATAAAAGGAGGACATAGGAGTAAATGTTTAATATCACTTTTAACTAGGGAGGGATGGACCTTGAACCAGGCAGATCTCACATCTCACCCTGTGTCCTCACCCCGTTAGCCAACCGCACCAGATTCTCTCACAAACCAAAGTTTAAGAGGCAAAAACATCAGCTCACAGCAGAACTTGGGTTTGTACGAAATACGAGCAAATACAGAAAAGAAATATGCTTAAGAACGACCCAAATCTAAATTTTAATCAGTCATGTTCCAAAAATTGTTGTCACAGCATTCTTCCTCTCCCCTCTGCCGATTCCTGCACCCATTAATGTCACAACCACAACACCCAGCGTTGTGTGTTTTGGTTTATAATAGGGCGACGCCTACCCCCACTAGCGGCCTGCCAAGCCGAGCTCCCAAAAGCATCCAGACCAGCGTTCACATCCAACACACGGGGTCCGGCTACTTCAGCTGTACCTGGTTTTAAGAGGTAACATGACTCACTGAGTAACACTTAGCTGCTGCACACACAAGTTATTTTAATTTCTTAAAAAGTTTTCAACCTAAAATCTAGAAAAGGGGAGTATATTTGCACACAGGAAGTGCAAAGAGCCTGACACGACTTGACATTATCTGTCAGTGCTTTGCTGCCCGACTGAGCCCAGAGCCTTAAGTTAATGCAAAATAGCCGAGAAGTTGTTATGGAGACGCAAATCCCATTGGGTCGTGCAGTTACAGCAGCGTCTCCAGAGGCTGTGGCATCACCCCCGGCAACAGACTTGCTCCAACAACTCACCAACTCTACCTTTCTCCACCCCCTGGGCTTCTGCTGTCTTTCTGTGCCACCAATTTTCACTCTCAAATGATCCTGTGTGTGCGTGTGCGTGTGTGCGTGCGTGCGTGCATGCGTGTGTGTGTGTGTGTGTGTGTGTGTGTGTCACAAAGACACACCCAGCCCCTGCTCCCATGCAGCCAATCTACATGACCACGACTTTCACACCTGCATAGAAACCCAAATGGAAGTCAGCAGCTCTGACTTTTCACACATGCTGTCAGACCCATTATTTTCTACATACGTGTTGATCATCTAAACACAGGCATGACCTCCATCCGAGAAAATCACTTGTCCCATTTACCCACATCTAGACGTTCATGCTGCAGAAAGGAAAATTATTTTTAAAAATGCTTCAAACTCATTAGATAATCTGAAAATATATTTTCCAATTCTCCAGCCCACGAAGGCATCATTGGCCTGTAAAAATATGATTTTTTTTACGAGTCTGTGAACTCATCCTTACTTCGAGCTAAATCAGCATCTGGAGGAGGAAGCTAACAAACATTTTCTAAACATTCTATTAATTCTAGTCCTTTAAAAATAAATCAAATGAAATATAGCTTCAACCGCTATGAATCTTTATTTTGCAGAACATCGAGAAGGTTAAATGACAAATAAAAGCCACCAATAAGAGAACGAAGCAGCTCCAATTAAAGATGCATCAACAACACAGCTGATAATACCATGGCATACCAATTCAGCATCCTCGGACAATCTTAAACTCTTTAGTTGGCTTTTTAGGTACAGTAAACGAACCAGCAATAAAAAAAAACTAGAAATGTGACATCACTGAGCACCAACCCACAAATACAGAACTCTCAAAATTGTGATTTTTAAAATATTTTTGAAAAAATTTTGAAATTACAGCTCTTGTGAGAATAATTCACAAAAAATCAAAAAATCTGCAATCAGTATTGGCTTCCTAAACCAGAATTTGCACGTTTCTACCACTAATCTTAATATTCAAATCATTTCTAGTCAAATTCAATTCATTTTGACATCGCAGCCTAGAGATCCTCCAGCAGGACTATTTCCTCCACTAAACTTCTGAGAGCTGCCACTTAAAAAAAAAGTTCAAATTGGGTGCAGGATTGAAGAAGGGGAAAAAAACTTGATGCTCCGTGTTCTGCATAAAACCTTTGGGTCTCTTTTTTTTTTTTTTTTTTTTTGCAGGGGTTCTCTAACCCCATTCAGGTCCCCAGGTAACCATGGCAATGAAGACCAAGAAAGAACGCTTTCATGTTGGCGCCCTGAACCAGGATTTGGAAAGGGGAAATGAGCAGACAGGAGGAGGAGGAGGGTGGCTGCTCCAGAACGAACTCCTAAACTTTACAAGCCACACAAGTGGGAGGTGAAGCGCACCAAGAGGGGCAGAGGAAAAGAGTTGCGCTTAAAAACTCACCGTTTTGGAGTCCAATTCGTGTCTGTTTTGCGCCAAAACCTTTTCCACACCCGCTTGATCTGCGTATGTTACAAAGCCGAACCCCCTGCAGAAAAAAATCAAGAGAAAGAAGGAAATAAAGTGAGAAGGAAAAGCAGCATGGAAGCGCATGAGGCATCCAGTGATAGGACGGCGGGGCGCACACGCCTCCTCCATGCTTACCTCGACCGCTTGGTAACGGGATCCCGCATCACCATGCACTCCTTCACCTCGCCGAATTTACCGAAGTAATCCCTCAAGCCCTCTGCAAAAATAAAAAAACCACACACGCAGCGTGAGGAGTGCACGATCAAACCCGAGCAGAGAGGACACAGGCCCGGTGCGAGCTGAGATCGGAGACAAACAATGGGGTCGTGGGCTTGGACCACGTTGTTTGTGTCCCACCACAGCGCGCGCACACACACAAACACTAGTTATGTGGCCACTCACAAACAAGCTGCAGCACTGTGATAATACAGGTCATCATGGCAGCTAGAATAAACTCACCATCCTTAGAATAAACAAAACTTCCGCTTTAGCGCACAAACACACCATTACTTTTATTCTAGAGGCGCCCTCGTCATGTTAGAAAAAGCAAGACAAGTGTGTGCGTGTGCACGATTCCCACTAGTGTTAATCTCCTCCTGCATGCGCCTCGACAGAAATCCTAAGAGCTGATCCTCAGTGAATAGGAGCCTTTCATTCAACTATTTACAAGGCTTTAAGTTCAAGGAGCCTGGCAGGTTGCGTGGAAGCTAGAAACGAGTGAACAGGAGTGTGTTGGGACAGCTCACCTTGTGTCGTCTGCCAACTCAGACCCCCGATGAACATTTTGCTGAATGAGAGAAACACAATAAGTCACACGGGAAAGGAGGGGGGTGGGAGAGAAGAAAAAAGAAGCGCGTCTTTTAAGCGCAACACTGGAACGTTCAAATCTGAAGGAATTGTGTGTCATGTAGCATCAGGAAAGTAAGAAGAAAGCATCGGCCATGTTGCGAAGTCACCCATCGGCCAGCCGGGCCGTTATAATCCCCTAGAGGAGGAGGAGGAGGAAATACACAGAAATAAATAAAGATATTAGAGGGGGGGATTTTTCCAGATGATGGAGAAGTTAGAGTAGCTTTCAGGAGGAAAAGCGCGATAAATAAACAAACAAGATAAAAGAAGGAGGGGGGGGGGCAGACGGAAAGCAGCGGTGCGTCTGTCTCCTCCGGTGAGTGGATCCATCACACACACAAACACACACACGCACGCACGCATACACACGCACGCACGCACACACACACACGGCGTGCTCGTCTTTTGTCTCCGCGCGGCTTCACTCCCGCACTGAACTCCACTTAAAGTCCAAGGTGAACTCAAAGCGGGCCGAGCCGACAAGCGAGGCCGGGACGGACCGGGAGGCCGTTTACCAGGGGTCGTGGGGGGAGTTGTCCGTGCCGGAGGACAGGCTGCTCTGGCTCCCTTCCGTGTCCATTCCGCTCTCTCCGCTGCTGTGTTCCCGCACTGTGAGGCGAGGAGAGGCAGCGAGGCTTCCACTGCTGCTGCTGCTGCTGCTGCTCCAGACTCAGGGGCGGGCAGATCGATGGGAGGGGGAGGAGGGAGGAGGAGAGCTGGGGTGGGGGAGGATGAAAGGAGGAGGGGTGGAGTGAGGAAACACACTGAGGGCGAAGCCCCGCCCCCCTTCTCTACCTCGTTTTCCCGTGGCCTCGCTCGGACCTCCCCTCCTGCAAGTCTCCCCCGTGGTGTTTCCCCGCCGTCCCTGTCATTGGTTGATCACAACAAACGCAAACTCAACCTGTCGTGACGTCACCACGGACTAAATAGAGGGGAAACATGCACATGCACACTAATGACATCATGTGCACCATAGACAGCAGTGTTGTCACTCTTTAGTTCTCTAAAACACAAAAAATGTTATTTCTGACAAAGTTTTAATAAGTCAGACAAAAAGCCCAGAGACCCTGTTCTCTTAGAATCAAATGCCAATTAAGTTTAACAAGTTTACATCTCTGAATAAAATACAATATGAAAACGTGGCGCAGAAATCCTCCCAGTCCTTTTGATTTCTGTCACATGCTGCCACCTTGTAAGTATGGGGTGCTGATTGCAAAATAAATCATCAGAAAAAAATCTGCTGTAGAACTTTTCCTTATGGCTGTATTTAGTTCTTAATGTTAATAAAAAGAGTAACATGTTCATCCCATTTATTTAGGAGAATAGAATGTGTCAGGTTAAACATTCAAAGTAATGACATAAAAATTATATTGTATTATATTATATTACATTGTATTGCATTATATTGTATTGTATTGTATTGTATTGTATTGTATTGTATTATATTATATTATATTATATTATATTATATTATATTATATTATATTATATTATATTATATTACATGCATGTTTTGGGTTTGTAGGAGGAAACCAGAGTACCAAAAGAAAACCTGCATGTGCACAGGGAGAACATGCAAATTCCATGCAAAAAGACTGTAGCTGAGATTCAAACCTGTGACATTTATGCTGCAAAGCAGGCACAAGTGCTATCCCTTGCTCCACCATGCAGCCTGGATCGATATATTAACTTTAAAAATCAAGTTATTTATTCAGAACATATTGCACTATCTCTGTAAAAGAACATGCTCGTGCACACACACACACACACACACACACACACACACACACACACACACACACACACACACAAGCTCAGGTAAACAAAAAACATTCAATCATAAAAGTTAAAATTGACCACAAAGGGACATTTAAACACAGAGAAGTCAGGAAAAATCCACACATTTTTACATGCAATCATATGAAAATGTTTTTTAAAGATCCCATCTTATGTGGATAACCTACCTTTGTCAGGTAGATTTCCACCTGTGAAGTTTGCTTGTACAGCTCTTGGTCAGCTGTCATGCTGTGTTTGTGTGCTTTAGAAATTAACTGGTATGGTATGTTGTTTGATACAAAACCACATGTTTTATATTTAACCCACATAAATAAAATGTGTTTCCACCTGCACTTGTTTGTCAGTGACATCATCATCTCTTGCTTTGATGTGATCTGAGTCCGTGTTACAGTACAAATCAAATCAAATCAAAGATACTTTATTAATCCCAGAGGGAAATTACATGTTATCTGACATTTGATGATGTCAAACATCAAGTCTTTTTAATTCATTTTCAACATTAGTGCAAGCATTTGTATAATCAGTAGCATCTTTGAATTTCTGTCCATCCAATCATCTGAGGCGTGGACTTGAGTCATAGTTCTGATGATGTCATACTCAGTTTGAGGAAATCACCAGACTCTGGACTCGGATTGGATTTAAACACTGACAGTTTGTGACTTTTGGATTTGAGCTTGATTGTTGAAAATACTAGATATAATTAATATTTACAGAAAAAAGCAACATCAACAACTTCAGCTGTTTGCTGCTTGTTCCAAACCACACCTTTTAAAAATAATTAACATTTTCTAGGAATACTTTCTTATTCTCTGTATTTGATCAAATTACTTGTTCATCAATGTTTAGAACACACACTTGACTTAATGCATGCATGTCTTGGGACTTGTCTTGACTTGAGTGGAAGAAAACCCATTTATTTTTATTAGGTGACTTGCACTCCCACTTTCCGTATCCCTGTATCCTGGATTTACCTGTCCCCTTCACCCAATCACAGCTCATTACTCATCCTGATCTCACTAACCTTCTCCCCTGGCCCATGTGACAGGTTGTCCTGACACACTAGACAGATTAGCAGCACTTTCCTCTGGGACATTCCTGGTCAGCTGAGCTGTGAGTCTCATAGCTGCTGCGTCAAACATGGAGCAGGTGATTAACATTAACCTGCTGAATTCCTCCTATTTACACATTGGAAAAAGAAGATCTTACACGGGGGTTAACTTCTCACGTAAAATAACAAATTCAGGAAAGATTACTATTGCATCTTGTAAAGAGTGAAACAAACTTCCCATAAATCTCTTTAATTCAGCACCTGACTGAAAATTTGAAACATTCCCAGCACCACATGATGATCCGTGCATGTGCCACTTCTGCGAAGGACCTTCAGGCTGTTGTGTGTGTGTGTGTGTGTGTGTGTGTGTGTGTGTGTGTGTGTGTGTGTGTGTGTGTGTGTGTGTGTGTGTGTGTGTGTGTGTGTGTGTGTGTGTGTGTGTGTGTGTGTGTGTGTGTGTGTGACCGTGGCCTGGTAGACCATAGCAAGAGAACAGTATGTAGGACAGGGCCTCGCTCTTGCTAACCTATCCCGGCTGGAGCCACGGCTGGGCGTGCTGAATTTCTGCATGCATGATCAATGGCGCCGGATAAAAGAGAGAGGAGAAAGAGCAGCATGGATGGGGGGAGGGGAAGGAACAAGTCAGGGCACTGTGACGAGACAGATTCAAACTACATTTTGGCACCAAGGTGAGTCCATTTCTCTGTGATTATATGAAAATGAAGTCAGAACAAGAAACAGATTTTTCCAGCTTGAGAAACTTTGGATGCGTTGTTTTATGAGCTTAAGCAACAGTTTTGGCAGATTTAAAAATCTGGCAAAGCATACTTGGAAGCTAAATTTACACAATTGTGTGTGTATGTGTGTGAGTGTGAACGGGTGTCTCAGTGTGTTGGAGAGGTTTTTTTAGTGCACTCGTTGCCCTGCTCTACTCTGCCCTATCCCATCCCAGTCCCTCTGTCTTCTTGTCACTCTGCCACCTCAGTTGTTTGTCTAATCCAGGTCTTCACTGCTTTTGTTTCCTTGACCACGGCTGACCCAAAGTGAGACGCCTTTGTCCATGAGCGACCTTTGACCTGTCAGGGCCTGGGACCTGCACTCCCACCACCCTTGAGTCAGTTTTAAAAAGGAGCTGAGAAGGAGACTCCTAAGAAAAAGAGTTCAAAAGCTGTCCACGACTGGTCTGAAAGACTCAGCTGGGTGTTTCAGCTGAAGTCGTAGTTTGAATGTGATGCAAATGCAAACAAGCAACAATCTATTCCTTAAAGGGAATTAAACACAGATGGCAGACAAAGAAATAAAGAATAAAAATGGAATGTTTGAACAAGCAAAAATAAATCCCCTTCAAAGCGGACGCAATCCATTTTTTTGGAGGGTGTTGTATTTTTCTTTCTGTCTTTCTTTTCTTTTTTTCACCTGGCAGGTGGTGAGCTGAAGAAATCATTACACGATAGAGGAGATGGGAGGAAATGAGCACACCTGTGAATGTGCCAGAGAACTCCACCTCCAACCACAATCCCTGCATCCCTCGAGGGAGAAGGTGTGGCAAAAGGTGGAGAGACAAAGGGAGGAGAGAAAGGCAGAGGAAGGAAGAGATTGAAGAGGAGATTTACATGCAACAGTTGACTAGAGTTTTATTAAGCATACCCACACTAAACAAACTTGACTGATAGATGGTGCTGCTGGGAGGCTTCCAAAGGGTTGACTGTGGGCTTCCTGTGAGTGCAAACACACCACTGCCTATCTACCATAATGACACAGGACTATTTCTGTTTGACGGCCGCATTGGGTAAAGCAGCAGCGGAAATCTGTGTTGTAATACCACACAGACACAGACGGCTGGGCGGACAAACGCAGGAGCAACACACAAACACACAACAACCAGGAGCCACACAAAGCCTTCTGGGTACAAATCAGCAGAGACCTAACACTTAAAGACAGATTGTCAATACTGCACTTGCCGCCATGGAAATTGTTATGGGGATCACAGTTTGTTAAAGGACTGCCCATCTATCTCTGCTGCTTTGAGCACAATATTAACTTGGAGATAACTAATTATCTCTTGTCACATCTGAAAATGCTTTGCTCAGCATGGGATTAAATTACAGGAGCAGTTCTGTCCGAAAGCAAAAGGGGAGGAAGTAGTATATGGGGCACCAAAGTTAAAGTGATGCATTGAAAAATTTGACAGCTATATTTTAACCTAAGTTGCATCAAATAATATTTAAATGTAATTAGAATCGAATATGATGTAATTCTGTAATTTTCATATGTTAATATGTAATATATATTAATTTAAATCTGTGTTCATAATTTTGTTCAGAAACGCATCTGCTGACTGAATTACAACAAAGTGAGCTGAATCTGAATCTACACTCAACAAAAATATAAACGCGACACCTTTGTTTCTGCTCCGATTTTTCATGAGATGGACTTAAAGATCTAAAATTCATTCCAGATACACAACATTACCATTTCTCTCAATTATTGTTCACAAATCAGTCTAAATGTGTGATAGTGAGCACCTGTGCTTTGCTGAGATCATCCATTCCACCTCACAGGTCTGCCACATCAAGATGCTGATCTGACATCATGAGTAGTGCACATGTGTACCTTGTACTGCCCACAATAAAAGGCCACCCTGGAATGTGCAGTTTTTGCTTTATTGGGGGTCTGGGGACTCAGAACCGGTCAGTATCTGGTGTGACCACCATTTGCCTCATGCAGTGCAACACATCTTCTTCACATAGAGTTTGATTGTCAATTGTGGCCTGTGGAATGTTGGTCCACTCCTCTTCAATGGCTGTGCGAAGTTGTTGGATAT